TTCATAGCCTGAAATCACCCGTGGGCGATAGTAATGACTTATTATTGTGTGTTGAAGTTGAATACCAGGAAGGTGTAAAATTCATCAATACTGATTAGATTTGGCTATAAATATGATTTTGAGTCCTCAGCCTGAGCCTTCAGTAGGAAGACCATTGAGAATGCAGATTGATTACAAGCATTGAAATGTGTTAAGGAATACACGCTTGTGTAACATGTCAGCAGTAGGAATGTAATTATAGTCTTAAATGTGTAGGGTCATGCTGGAATGCATTTTTGTTGGGGCCAACAAAGGCTTTTCACAAATGACCAAACTCTGTCTTAGAATCATGGGCTGGGAGGCTGGGGCGGGCGTCCCGTCCCATCTTGCCCCTCCGCTCTTTCAGCCAGCTGTTAAATAACCTTGGTTGTAGGCTGCTCAGGCTTCATCTTGTAATTTATTTCTCCCCTCCTCCAGCACCCCTAGGGGAGACTACGCAAGAGTTCTGCTCCTATGGCTGCTGGAAACCTTTTTCTAAATTTTCCTGTTTAGATTTATTTCCAGACTCTCTTTGCCACTGTGCTTCATGCATGAATTTGTAGATTTTTGGTGGCCAGAGTCTTGCACAGGACTTCATTTTACCTCAGCATTCTTCGTTACATTTACTGGAAATTCCATACTTTGTATGTCTTAATAGTGAATTTGCCATTTATGTCTTGTACTCATCCTGTCACTGACTACATATACCCAGCCTCTTCCTCTTGTCACTTGCAGTTGCTGAGACTCCACTTTATGTCGGAGGTTATGTACAGTTTATCTCAGAACCCTGAATACTCAATGTTAAACAATACTTTCCAATTCCTTCCATTCTTCTTATTCCAGTTCTCAAGCTCTGCTGTTCTTCCTATGCAAAATGTCTGTTTATGGATAACAGTGTCCTGTTTTGTGTTACAAACCCCGGTGTTCCACACCAGTTCAAACATGCAATAACATTTTCTTACTGTAGCATTCAAAGTAAGTGTAGAATTCAAAACCAGCAGAGCACTGCATTGTGTTCAGTTTTCCCAGTATGGAATATCCATGTATTCATAGATGGAATATTCATATAAGCAGATACATGTGTCTCAGGAATTTAATAAATAGTGGATCACGAAAGCAATATGAAAAATCACAGTTCTTGCATTGAATTACATAAAGCAGCTTCCAAGGAGAGAAAACAACTGAGTAAGTACTTCTGTTGTTCTCACTATTATGGTGAGGGTTTTTTTTTTCAATTTTTGATGCTTTATGTCTGAAAATGACTGTGGTTTATGGTTTGTGATGTAGGGTTTGATAAATCAAAAGCTTCTTTCTGCTAGAAACTTTGTCCTTAGTCTTTAATAAATGGATAAGGTTTTCTTCTGAATTCTGTAGTACCGATAGTTCAAAACCTGGCAGATCTGGACTTTGGAGTAAATGACTTAGGAAGAACTCAATAGGAGTACGCTTTTCTGACTAGGAAAATGGGCTTTCTAGAAGAAAGTTCTCATCCCAGCCACAAAGAAATTTTACTAACCTGAAAAGGACATAAGCATTATTAAAAAACAAAACCAAAAGTTTTCTGACATTTGGGCCAAGAGGCTCTTGGAGATGAGCCCACTTGCACTTAGACTCTGACCCAGTGCTCTGCATATGAGTAAAGAATTGGAGAATGAATCCCTATGCCAGTGCAGCTGGAAAGAGATCTCTGCTCTACAACTTGCAGTTTGGAAAGTCCTATATCGAATTAATAGATTGATGTTTTTGTCTATGCAAAGCTTACCTGAAACTGTCATTTAGAGATGTCTTATACTAGTGCAATTTTCCTGTCATCTTTGCTCTCTCAGTTTTCTACGTTTTGGCTGGTAATATTTACGTGATTTGACTTTAAAGAAAAATAGTATTAATACAACTCCACAAAATTCTCTCAATGCCTTCTAAAATAACCTTTTTGTAAATATGTGCAGTTTGTTGCGGGGTGGTGATGGTATAAAGCTCTTACTGACATGACCTAAAATTCACTTAGGAATAATGTGACATTCTCAAAATTATTAACCATTCTGCCCTGTCATAACATCTTTTATTTCATGTTTCATAGAAGAAAAAAACCCTATATTAGAAATGTGGAATTGTCAAACAATCCGAAGTAGGTGTTCATCCAGGAATGAGTGCCCTGCTACTGTGAATCCAACTTCATGATTATTGGGGAAAAAAAAAATTACAACGTTTAGAAAAACCTAAGAATCACAATATATTTCTGTATGTAGTAACCAAGTATTGTGTAACTTTAAAGAAAGTGATTTTTTTTTTCCTATAAACCTCTCACTGAAATCAAGGCTATTACCTGCCTGAGGGCCCTGGTCAGTGTAATCCTGAGATGCTAAAGTTACTCTGTTCTAATCAATACCCTTTCTGTTATTGGTCCGCTAATAAGAGTGTCTGTAGCTGTTTAAATTAATGTGAGGTTGCGATAGTTTTTTGAATTCATGGATATACACCCACAATGAAATCTGATTTTCCTTCCATACCGCAGGTTTTCAAACAACTTTTGCATGGTAGCAGCTTTTGGCTACTGTGGAATTCATACTACATCTAATTCCAGGACTAAAGCTGACTTCATCACACTGTTAGTCTTTCCCTGAAAATAAAGCGTTCCTTTTCCCTGCGTTACCAGTGTAGCATTAGGCTCATCCTTGCTCCCAAAATTGATTGCCTGTCTGTCTTCTTGAGGAAGTCTAGGTGTACTTTTCACCACCAGCATTATATTTCTGCCAGCTTGTGCACTAGCTGTGAATTCTTTATTTCCTACAATGTTATCTCATAGAAATTATTGTTATTTTTTTCAGTAAGTGAAATTTACTTGTGTGCTCTTGAAGTAATGGAGTGCTATTTAAACCTTGTTTCAAGGCTGATGTTGAAGTCTAGTGGTTTATATACCACCCTCTGGCCATGGAGGAGCTTTCCCAAATGATACGAATTTATGCAGGTGGATTTATTCAGTTTAATGTAGTGCCATTACCGTGCTGTGGGCCTGGAAATAAAATAACAGAACCCTACAGTGTCCTTCTCAATAGATCTTGTTTATACAAACTTGACAGTAAAACTAAGGAGGTGATAACATACAGCAATTATGGATTTAAAAAATTACATTTGACATGATTGAGAATTGGGTAAAAGTAACCACCAGGTTTTTTTCTGCCTGTCTTTTCGTAGGGTTAACTGAAAGTCCTTTTGTCGTCGTTCTCTTGGCACGTCAGGCTTTTGGCATGCTAAGAACGTGAGGGTTTCCCTCTAATTGGAACTCCAGATGTCAAGCTGGTAGTAGATCATTCAGTAGTAGATCTGTTGCCAATTACGTATGAAGTCTGGATCTGTATGTCTTTTGATTATTTAAAATGTGACTCCATTTGATAAAGGAAGATTTTTTTTTTAGTTTCTTATTGCATCGTCAGAACCAATATTATTTTTAAAATAGTTAATATTCCCAAAAGTTTTGTGTGCTTCATTGTGCAGTGTTTTGTCAATAGAAGTTAATGTGCTTTTAATGTTTTATTTAGTGTCCTTTATATAGGTACGTTGATTCTGCTTTCTTTACTAAGTTATTTATGATAAAATTCAGAACTCCTGCATGAAGAATACTTTTTTTTTTCCTAATACGTTGCTAAGTGGGAAGGAGGAAATAAGTACGAAGACCTGGATCATATAGAAAATTCCTCTTGTCAGAAGATAAACAATGTTCTTTGTTACTTATGTATGGGTGAAGAAATTAGTACCCAAAACCTGTTACCAAAACAGATTCTTTTAGCTGGGGGTACATACAGTACATACAGTATACATGGTAAAAGTCTTAGACTGGCCCAAATCACTCATGTTTTGGAGTTTACACAGGGGGGGAAAAGTTTAAAAAAAAAAAAAAAATCAATGGAGAGGAAGAGAGAAGAGAATTCAGAGAGTGTATTAAGAGTGGAGGCTAAAATTTGAATTTGCATTTTTTTGCAACATACATAATAACTGCTTGAAGGGTAATAGTTTGAGGGTTGTGAAAGACTTACCTGCTGCATAAAGCATAAATGCGTTTACCTAATGCTAATGGGATTTACTTTCTTTTGTTGAGAAGATGGCTTGATACCATTAATTGATATATGTAAGAACTACTTCTTCCTATCCACCTACAGGCAAAAACCAGACAGCCCTAAGAAAACAGGACAACAGTAGAGAAGAATAGCAAATTATCATAATGCAAACGTGTATTTTCATGTATTAAACTGGTGTTGCTGAAATGGCAGTTGAGGTTACTAGAAAGTACAGGCAGTGACGGATGAAATAATGCCATGTATACAAATCAGGGCCACCTTTTTTTTTCCTGTAGTGCAGGAAGTTGTGCTGCTTGATAGAATCGACAAGAGACACATTCAGAACGGGGGAGGAGGTGTTCTTTCCCTCCAGGGCAACTAGCTGACTTGGAGCACTCTTTGGTGTCAGTGTAGCCACAAACCCATCAGGATTCTGAAGCCTCTTACTCCCACTGACAAAATATTGGGCCCTTTCAAGGTGCTACTCGATCTACTGTATCTAACATGGAGATGGTAGAGTGGGCACAGGAGTATTTCGGGACAGTGAAGAGAAGTAGTAGAAAAACTTGTAAAAAGAGTAGAAGTCTTTTGGTTCTAAAAACACAGGCATCCATTCTGGTCATGTAAAGGTTTCTTGTAAGACACCTTTACTAGCAGCAATACCGTAATATTTAAATACAAAATAACTTCCTGAATACCAACTTTAAAAGTCAGTGTTTTAATTAAAGCATGGCTACTTTGAACTACTTCAGAGCTGTCTGGCACAATTTGATTTTAGTTAGCATTTAGTAACCAGGGCACTGCTCATAACAGGACTGAGTTTTGATTGTCAAGCATTATCTTGGACCAAGTTATAATATATGCTTGACATTAATACCAAAGTTACTAACCATAAAAGAGAATAACCCATTTCTCCATTTTTTTCCCCAGACACCTGAGGAGCTAGAAGATGTATCTGACCTTGAAGAAGACCATGATGCACGTAGTCGTACAAGTATTCAGACTGAAGGGAAAACTGACAGGGTATGTATTACACCAGTTTATTTAAAAAGCATTTTGGTGAGGGGAAAAATGCTACTGTATTACTGTTTCTGTGAAGCCACTTAAAGTCCTGCAGTGAATCATTAAAATCTTGTTCAATTGAAAATTTGAAGAGGGCATAAAATGTTGTGTATGACCTGAGAGAGAAAAAGACAGTGTAATTAAATTGTAAATACTTGGTGAAGGTGTAGAATCACAGAATGTCTCAAGTTGGAAGGGACCTGTAAGGATCATCAATTCCAAATCCCTGCTCCTTGCAGGACTACCTAAAACTAAACCATATGACTAAGAGCGTCATGCGGATGCCTCTTGAACTCTGGCAGGCTTGGTGCTGTTGCCACTTCCCTGGGGAGCCTGCTCCAGTGACCGATGTAAATTAGACAGAAGAACTTACTGAATGAAATTCTAACAGGCTACAATTTCATAAATGTGGCTTGGTCTAACAGAAGTGAGCTTAATAAGGATTTTTTTTTTTTTATATCTGGGTCTTACCGAAGCCTGCAGTGTGTATCGATAGCCTCTATATCCAAGAAAGTTCACATACGCAGAGGTGTATCTGGAATCTTAGCCACTGCAGTGCGTGAGTTACAGACTTTTCCTGCTGTGTTTGTGTGTGAACCTCTTCTACAGTTCATTGTGTAACTAGTGAATTCATAAGGAAGTATGAAAAATGTACTACAGTACTTGACAATCTCTGTATTTCTGGAAGTGCTGAATCTGGTTTTGCTGTTGTATCATCATTTAACCTGAGGACTTCACGACATTACTGGTTATTGTTTATTGTTTATAGTCAAACATTTTTAAGAGCCTGAAAACATTTTTGAGATAGTAGAAGGTTTCTTAGTACAAAATTGATGTATTTAGCAAACATTAATCTTCTTTATATTTCCATTTTAAATAATGGTTCAGCAAAACGGTACTCTGTTCACAACTTTCTGAAGTGGAAAGGTCCATAGGGTCAGAAATGTCTGTTTCATTACTTGTTTGCTCAATGCCTAGAGCAATAACAGATCTCTCACACTTAATTGATTCTAGTTTTATTCCCATAATGGAAATTATAAATGAAAGAACTAGTTGGGAAAAAGCAAAACTTTTCAATATGAGAAGAATTATTTTAAGAAAATGGCATTTTAATTCTCACTTGGTTTGCAGCAAGCACATTTTTTTTATTTGCCAAACACAAATTTTTCTTTATTAAGATCCTAAATATTAATGAAAAAAGTGCTAACCAAAATGAACACTGTTCACTTGTGTTGCATATGTGCATATCAGTTACATGTTAATTAGCTGGTAGTTGATTCTTAAAACATTGTGGGAAATGTAACAACTATGTGAAATATCACCTCATACAATCTTATTACTGCGTAAACATAATTGGCAATTAAACTGCCCTTTTCAATTAAAATTGCTCTTTATAAATGTTAGGACATTTTCCCCACATTACAGGCTAGAATTTCTGTTGTAGTTAAGAACGGTGTCGTGGTGACCCCAGTCAGCAACTAAGCACCCTTGTTTACCCTCCCCCACCGTGGTGGGATGGGGGAGAGAATTGGGAAAAAAAAAAAGGTGAACCTGTGGGTTGAGACAAAGACAATTTAATAGGACAGCAGAGGAGGAGAAAATACCAACAATAATAATGATGATAATAGAATATACAAAACAAGTGATGTACCATGCAGCTGCTCACCACCTGCCAACAGATGCCCAGCCTGTCCCACAGCAGCGATTGCTGCTTCCTGGCCCACTCCCCCCCCCTTTACATACTGAGCATGACATCATATGGTATGGAATACCCCTTGGGCCAGTTTGGGTCCGCTGTCCTGGCTGTGCCCCCTCCCAGCTTCTTGTGCACCTGGCAGAGCAGGGGAAGCTGAAAAGTCCTTGACTATAAATGGTAGGGCATTTTCCCCCACATTACAGGCTAGAATTTCTGTTGTAGTTAAGAACGGTGTCGTGGTGACCCCAGTCAGCAACTAAGCACCCTTGTTTACCCTCCCCCACCGTGGTGGGATGGGGGAGAGAATTGGGGGAAAAAAAAAAAGGTGAACCTGTGGGTTGAGACAAAGACAAATTTAATAGGACAGCAGAGGAGGAGAAAATACCAACAATAATAATGATGATAATAGAATATACAAAACAAGTGATGTACCATGCAGCTGCTCACCACCTGCCAACAGATGCCCAGCCTGTCCCACAGCAGCGATTGCTGCTTCCTGGCCAACTCCCCCCCCAGTTTACATACTGAGCATGACATCATATGGTATGGAATACCCCTTGGGCCAGTTTGGGTCCTGGCTGTGCCCCCTCCCAGCTTCTCACTGCCAGAGCATGGGAAGCTGAAAAGTCCCTGACTTAGTGTAGGCACTACTTAGCAACAACTAAACCATCAGTGTGTTATTCAACATTAATGTCATATTAAATCCACAACACAGCACTACTAGGAAGAAAATTAACTCTACCCCAGCCGAAACCAGGACAAAAGGTAAGGTTTTCCTTCAAAATGTTATCCATATAAGATGCCATGAATTTGGTTGGAAACAGGTACAGATAGTGTGCGTGCATATTTTCATAAATATCGTATAATGAATACATTTGAAAGTTTTCTCTTAGTGGGAGAACATTAGTAGTTTGTAGATGTTTACTATCTTAATGTAGCAACAAAAGATCCACAGCTTTAAAAGATCACATTTGTACACGTTCTTCCACTTCTCAGATAAACCAGAATACTTCTTTAAAGGGAATGTTCTTTGAAAAGAAAACCATAAATAACACACACTTCCAGACATCTACACAAGCCAAGAAGTAACTGCTGAGGACTGTTGCTGGTAGGGAGCCATCTGTCAGGAATCAGAGGCATAGGTTATTGCTGTGGAGAGACATCTCTGGGATACACTTCCCTTGTACTACACACTCCATATATAATCTGCACTGTCAGTGAATTTAGTGGAGATTTGGAAGGGACAGGTATTTATAGATGAACTATGGTTAAAAAATAAAAATACATAATACTTAAAAGAGTATTTTAACAGTATAGGTTGTACATTTCTATTTTTTCTTCCATTCTCACCAAAATAATTGAACTACTGTAAATATTCCTTTGGGGGGGGCTCTAGATAGCAGTCATTACTTAAAGCCTGAGTCTATATCTTTACTTGAGAAGAGCTTTCCTAGTTTTCATATTATGGTATCAGGGCCATAAATGGCACATTACCCAAAAAATTAATAGAAAATTACAGCTTTGACTAAGTTAGATATGTACACTCTTAATCTAAATCAACATGTTGGCAGAAACCTTCCTGTACTTTTTTTGTTTAAACAAATGTTTGAACAAATCTATTTGCTGCTTCAGCAAATGTGAACAATGATTTAGGGCCTCTTTGTTTGGACTGCTATTTGATATTGATATTTCAAGATTTATACCTAGAACCTATTTAGCAATATGAAGAATCTGTATAGGCAAGATAGATTTTAAGCTTTAGACAGGGATTGTTTTTTGGTTTGTCCTCTGCAGCAGATTTTCTGTGCTATTGTGAGGCGTTTGTGTGCAGTGGTAACACAAGAATGAGTGTGTTCTAGAAGTGGTATGGCAACATTGCAGAGTAACTTTTTTTCCTCCTTGAGTTCTTTCTCTTGGGCATTTCCACTACAGTAATTCAGTGTTATTTATACATACCTGCCTTGATACTAGTTCTGCATAACAGCACCCTTGATTCCTCTTGCTTTGTCAAGAGTGTCATATTTTCTCCTTGTCACATCTCTCATTGCTCCAACAGGGGATTAGTGCCTGTGAAAGCACCTTTTTTCTTCCTCTTTTTATCACAACATAAAAAACATATCACAGCATGTAAAACCATATGTGATGTGCATATGCCACTTGGAACAAAGGCTACATCTTAACTAGCAAATCTCATTTTCCTTATGTAGGAAAAAAATCATGTATTATTAATTATAACTTCTTCAGAATCTCTCTCTCTCTGGAGAGAGCATATAGGTTGGTGGTGAGATGACAGGATGAGATTTGACCTCGTGTTTATGTTCCTGACTCTGCAAGAATATAGGTCATCTGGGAAATGTTACGTCATTGATCTTTCCCTCAGATAATTCCATATCTTTAAGATGAATATGATAGTGCTTATGGCACCGTCCCACACTGTGGGATGCAGGTTAACTTGGGCAATTTGCTGTGAGATCTCTCAGCAATTAAACTGATGGCAATACTGATGATTATTTGTAGGGTGGTTCTGTATCCCTGAAGAAGATCCTTAGGACCAAACCCTTAGCTGCTATAAAAACAGGTACTGCTTGTGGATCCAAGGACTAACACAGTTTTTCTCAGCTGCAAGTCAGATCTTTCTCTGGTTGTTGTGTCTCAATTGTGTAGTTAGTCTGCAAGCTTATCACACAGTAAGTTTGCTTGAGGAAATTTATGCTGTCATGATCAGTGTAATTCCACTGAGGTAGTTAGTGGCTTATTATTGTATGATTTTGCATTGAAGAGAAGGTCACATAAGTATTTGCCTAGTTAATTTTCAGACTTAGAAGACAATGTATGTTCTGATGAGAGGAAAAAATGTAAGTGTTTAAAGTTACTAAATTAGAGAAGAGAACAGCTTAGCCTAATTTTAAAGTTATTGCTACAGGTTAGCTGTTCATATTGAAGAAGAGGTGAAATGTTTTAGCTCATACATAATCCACTTACAGATGACAAGAGCAGAAATGCTTTCAGGCAATCACCCACCCACATTTTTTCTCAGAGTTCTGCAGACTGTTTTGTGAATATATAGATAAAAATATCTGAGAATAACATCTTTTATATATATTTGTTGCATAGTATGTATGTGCAACAGTTCAGGGCTAAGGAAGAGTTGACTCGGTGCGTATTCTACTGTGAATGAGAAAATCCAGGCTGACTTTATAGTTTTATTTGTATGACATCTTAAATACAGCAGTGATTAATATATGTCTAAAAATTTATTTAGCCT